GAGTGTTAGCGCAAGTCTAAGCCTGTTGTAGGGCAGTGACCTGGTGAATTCCCAAGAGGAATTTGGGCACTAAGTGCTTTTCAGGCCCTAGCAAGGAAAATGATGAGGCACCTCTGGGTTGTGACTGCAGGCTGAGGAGGCAGGTGAGTTTGTGCCAAAAGCCCTGTCAGTGCCCTTCAGGATACTGGAGAGACAGAGGTTCCTTGCAGGAAGTCACCTTGGGTCTGTGCTCCTGGAAATGAGTCACTCCTGACCAGTCTGATAAACCCCATGTCTGGTGTTAAACTGGGTCTGGGTTCAGGTTGGTTTGGCCTTGTTTCTGCTTACACCACCCCCCCACCCCCCCGCATCATCAGCACTTCATCAGTTCTCTCCAGCCAAGAGAATCTTCTTGAGGACCTTTCCCCGGAGGGCATCAGCCTGCAAAGTGGGACAGCGCCTCCCCGCTGTAGTGAGAGGGCACCTCAGGGGCTCTGTGGGCTGCAGGGTTTTCTATGGGGCTGTTTGAGGGGAAGGCATCTTCAGCTGCAATTAGACATTGTCATTCCCAGGACTTGGTAACAGTGGCTCCCAGGTGCGAAGTAAATTCCCACTGTTGTATTTTCTTGCTGTCTAAAAGGGAAGATGATGTAAGGAGTCTGAGATACAGTGTCTTTTCATTGCAGAACTTTAAGGTACAGATTGCAAAGTGCTTTGATAAAGGTAAGTGTTGTAACCCCTGCTTGATAATTAGGAAACAGAGGGCAGGGAGCCAGGTGGCTTTACCATTGCCGTGAGTCAGCAGAAAAGCTGTGAATCACATCACTGCCTCTGATGACTGCTTTCCCTTCCCCCAGTTATTTGTATAATTGTGCTTACCACATGTCCAACTTGAGGAGACTGATTGCCTGCTTGATGGTTTATGGAAAACTACCGTATATAACAGCTTGTAGAGCACCTAGCCATGCAGTAGCCTGCTGTGGTTGTAAGGTGGTGTCTGACCTCACCCCCATCCCAGAGGTGCAACCTTTGAAGACCAGGGACTGGTCTTCAAGACAGGTATCCTGAGACCGTGCATGTCTTCTGATGTCTTCTGTCCTGTGCTGCCTGCAGGATCCCTGCCCAGGCACTGCTGAAGAGTTCAGTGCCTGTACTTGTTCTTCACAGAGCCTGCACTGCTTTACAGGGGCTGCTAGACCCTTAGCTTAAAAAAAGAGAAAAAATATGAGGATTGTTATCATGACTTGTTGCCAGTGTAAATTGAAAGCCTTACTACTGTACATAGGACCAATTACAGTACATCAAGGTATGATTTCATCTTTACTGGCACCCCCCCAGGAAGCCAGGAGACGTCGTGGCAACAGGATTATGGTTTGCAGATGATGTGCATGGTAACTTCGCTTAGATACGTGCACCTGTTTCCCTCACTAAGCAGATGTTCAGGAGGCTGTTAAGAGAACATCAGTCTCTTGACAGTGCAGCAGAAAGTGCTGCGTAGCTGTGTTCACATCATTGTGCCTACCACCTCCACTGCCTGACAGAGGGCTGGAGCAGCCCTGCCCAGGCACACTGGAGCCCCAGCCCCTGGGGCAGAACACATCAGTTCAGCATTTGAAAACCAAGCCCTTTCCTGGCTCTCTGCTCAGGCAAATCCGTAAGTCAGGAAAGGGAGTTTCCCTGTGTCAGGAGGGCAAGATTTGGCTGGCTCAGTGCCTGGGGTCTTGCAACCTCACTCATGCACCAGCAGCGACAGTCATTTCCATGTCATGGCAGGCATCTTTAAGCATGACCTGGCAAGTTGCATGGGGCACAGAGAGACCCACCCTGTGCTAGAGTAGACTTACTACCAGGTTGGAAAGAGTGTTGTATTGTACCATTACCCTCACCATCCCTCTGGACCACCAACTTCAGGATTATTTCTCCCCTATCCTTTTTAAATCATTTTCCCCAAATGCAAAATGAGCCTTTTGGATTAGTTTGCATACCTGTGAATGATGGCTGATGATCATCCCTGTGGGAAGGCAGAAGCACAAGCTGCCCCAGAAAGCTTCCTGTGTCCTAACCAGACTGTGGCAGGGGATCTCTCCCCTGCATGAGCCTGAAAACCTGGCTGTAGCCCAAAGGTGAAGTTGCCCCAAGGTAACCTCTGTGCCACAGTGCTTCCGACTCAGCAGTTTTCAGCCTGTGGTCTGTAAAAGATGTGAATTGTTTCTATAGGATCTGCAAAAGGTAATGAAGAAGAGGTAAGTATGCATTTACTATGAGGAGCCAGTGCCTGGGCAGGAAAGCATTTGGTGTTCACAGACTGGAAAATACTGAGAATATCCTCTCTAATTCTGTGGGAGGGAAACAAAACCTGTACTTGCATCTTCCGTGGTGTGCCTCCGTTAGGAAAGTAAGTCATGTTAGATGAGGCAGGGGTGTCATTACCTATCACAGATAATCTAGGGGAAACTCCACACACAGTGTAGGAACCTGTGCAAGTGTGTGCAGTCTAGCAAAGGGAAGACCTGTAATTCCTGCCAGGGCCTGCTGCTCCAGCTGGCAGCAAGCAGGAGAAGCAATCATCTCATCAAGATCTGGGGGGGTCTCTGTACATGAGTACGCAAATTCCTGGATGCTGGCTGTAGTGGCTGCCAAGGAGGGCTTGGAGAGCTGGGGGATTTACGATCTCATTTTTGCCATAGTTAATAAGATTTCTTCCCCATCACCCTCACCCCCACAATAGAAGACCTCTTACCAAGTGTCAAATGGAAGCAGGGAGAGCTTCACGGACACCAACCAAGAGCTCACAGATGATCTCAGGGATCCATGCACAGCAAGAATTGCCATGATTATGGTGTGGGAACAAGCTTTCACTGCTTCAGTGAAATACATCTGTCACATGTGAGGTGCAGGTCTGTCGCCCCAAACACCAGGCTTAAAACTGGTCCATGCCCATCCTCCTCGTTTTCATCTCCTGGAGTTGCCGTGATTTGGGAAGAGCACTGGAAGGGGTGCTTGCGTCTCAGCTGCTCTGTGCATACCCTAGCTTTGTCTGTGTGTGTGTTGATATTGAGCAACCCCACCATACACAGCATGTGTATATACTGCATTTTAATAGATATAGGACTACTGACTTAACATACATGGTTGCTATAGTAACAGAGGTTTCCTTAGTAACGGTTGCAGAAAATAATCTGGTACCAATTAAAAATAAACTGTTTGGAAAGGGGGCTGGGGAAGAAAGGAAACTGCTGAGAATCACCTTCCCCCTTATTGGTTCATCTCCCAGGGACTTGGAAGATTGATTAATGCTCAAAATAACCTTTCTTAACCAGTGGTGAGCTGAAAAGGTGGGATGAGTGTGGCTGCAGTGGCTAAAGCTGCTGTCCTGGATGAAACAAAGGGGAAAGAACGTGTCTGGGGTATGGCAGAAATACAACAGGATGATGCTAAATCTCTCCATTAGGTTGGAAGTATTCAGGGTGGAAAGACAAGGGACTATTTCCCTTCTTCCCTCTGTCCACTCTCTGTGTGCCATACCCCTTACACAGCCATTGGGTCTTTATTAGCGTACTGATTAAAGCCACAGGCAATCAATTTAACAGAATGCCTATCTCAGATGCTGTCTTAGAGCAGAACTTGTCACTGTGGCGGGAGTTCATCCCTCCCATTTGAAGTTTTTTGCCTGTGCCCATCCTATAGCTCATCTCTGTCACTCATCGCTTGTGCTGGCAGGCATCCAAGACCCTGGGCCCAAGGGGAGCTGGAAGCAAAGGCAGGATGCAAAGTGAGGAGCCCATGTGTCGGTGAGAGAGAGGAGACAGCATTGCTTCCTCACAAACAGAGGATGTGTGGGATGGGTTTCCAGGGTGTGGGTGTGCACAGCTCCCCTGGCAGCCTGCAGTTGTTTGTGCCTGTGGTGCCACACTTATGTCGTGCCACTCGTGCCCAGGGCGCTCGCTAGGTTAAGAGAGTCACCAGCTGTGAGCAGAATTCCTTCGCTCTGCAATGGGAGAGCATGCCCCCTTTCAGAGGAGAGCTGCCATGTGAGGGGAGGTGAAGGAGGAGAGGTGGTGTGTCTTGCCAGGAGCTGGTCCTCTCTTCCAGTCTGTAGCCAGCAGTGCTCCCAGGCAGGCCAAGCACAAGTGTCACAGGAGGGCACTTCATGTCCTCCCCCACAGACAGGAATGCCCTGGGTCAAAGGCTTGGGTGACAGGCGCAGCCTGAGCACACACAGTGGAGGCTTCATCTGCTCCTGCAGGGAGAGAGGAATGGGAAAACCAGTGTGGCGCTCTCCTTGCAGGGGCAAGAGCCAGTGAGGCCGCCTGTCATCCTCGACACTGTGTGACTGGTTAACTACCCATGTGGGAAATGCAGTTGCTCTTGGGAAGCTAGGGTAGGTGATATGCCTGTATCTTGTCCTGGAGCAGTCTGTGCTTCACCTGGAGCCAGATTTCCTGGCTGCTGGAGCTTGCTCGCTGCTAATCCCTTCCAGTCTGGTGCTTGCTCTTCTTTGCTAATTGTACCCATGTTTGGTCCCCTAGCTGCATGTCTGTGGGTTACACTTCACTGACGTGGTCGGCGTGTGACAGCAGTAGAGTCTCGTTTAATTCACCTTTCATGGAGATGGCTTTCTCTGTTGACCAGTTTCTCTGTTCAGCAGTTTATTGCTCTGAGGTGCAAGTGGTATGATTTTTCCATTAAAAAAAAAAAACACTGAATATGGGTGTAGTCTTATTGCTAGATTTGGTGCCTTAGATCACAGTGAATTAAGAAAGGGAGTCTTTTAAATGACAAACTGTGAAAAAGCAGCCTGTTGCTTAGGGACATAGTGGGAGCATCTACAAGTAGAGCCAGGGGTGAAAGAAGAGAGATTTGGTAGGAGAACATTGTCTCAAAGGTACAGGTAAGACACAAGCAAGAGCTGCCATGCCTGTAGTTGGGGCAGGGCTCCGTGGTCCTCCCCAGATGAGTTCAGTTTCTTTTCCATGTTAATGACCCACCTCTCCTCATCCTTCCCTGTTCTTCCCTTGCAGTGACCAAGCTGCAGGTGAGCAAGTCAAAGCGGAGCATCACTCTGGTGGAGAACCATCCCATCCCACTCAACTGCTCAGTGAAGTCCCAGACCAGCCCTGACTCGCACTTTGCTGTGCTGTGGTATGTCCACAAGCCCTCCGATGCCGATGGCAAGCTCATCCTGAAGACCACCCATAGCTCAACCTTTGAGTATGGCACCTATGCAGAGGAGGAGGGGCTGCGGGGCCGGCTGCAGTTTGAGCGCTCAGCGTCAGGAGGGCTCTTCAGCCTGACAGTGCAGCGGGCAGAGGTCCGAGACAGTGGCAGCTACTACTGCCACGTGGAGGAGTGGCTGCTCAGCCCCAACCACGCCTGGTACAAGCTGGCAGAGGAGGTGTCGGGCCGCACAGAGGTCACCGTCAAGCAGCCAGGTACCACATGAGGTCTCTTGGCACCGACTGTTGTGCAGGGCCCATGAGCTTGACAAGCTTTTGTGAGGCAGCAGGGATGCTTTGCACTTCTTTCCACTACAGCCTTGTCACCCCCTCCTTGCATCCTCATGCCTGCATAATCCCTGCACAAAGAGGGATGTTTTCCCCCTTTGATGAGCCCCTTCTCCATTTAGTCTTAGTTGGCATGCATTTGAGTGTCCCCACGTCAGGGTTGGCTATCCCCCGTGATCTAGAGGGCTGCTGTGTCCAGCCAGGTTTCTTTATCCTCAAGAGCATCATGTAGCAAGAGTGTCGACTAGTGACCTAGTGAGAGAGAACTGGCATGTGCCTACCTGGGAAAGCATTTTATGCTTTGCACACAGTTTAATTTTACTCCGTGCTGTATCCTGTCAGGCTCAGGGAGCCTTGTCTCTTTTTCCTGTGTGCTGTACACATGACATGTGAGTTAACAAGTTTAATGAGGTGGGGAGCTGGCTGCCAGGAAAGGAGAAATCTGCTCTGCTAGTGTTTTCCTTGACAGTGGACGTCACTGATAAAGGTGGCCTGACAGAGGAGCATTTTTAGTTCCCACAAGCCCCCACAAAGCTGGGGACAGAGCTGCTCACTGCCGGTCCCAGCTCCTCATTTCTGTGAGATGGCTGTGGAGTTGTTACGGAGGACGGATCTGTGATCTGTCCCCTCCTTTGCATCACCTGCTTCTCTCTGGGAAGTCCAGTGTGGGTCACTGCAGAGGCTGTACCAGGGAAGTCCAGACTGCCCATGGAAAGAAGTCATGAAGGAGTTACGAGTGACACATCATTTCGCATAAAAGAGCTGATTGCAGTCACCCACCCTCTACCCTCCATGTATCAATGAAATTGTGGAGTGAAAATCAGGGAAATTCCCAAGACAGCAGAACATCATGTCTGACTTTGCCCTCCTGCCACTTCTCATTTTGCAGCGATGGTTCCGTATAATGAGCCACCCACCGTCTGACTTGTTTATTTCTGTTTTCCCACAACAGGAGGGCTTACTGGTCGGGGTGTGACCAGGCTACTGCCCTGCCGCAGGAGGGTGAGGAAAGACTGAGGTGTGACCTCTCTTCACAAGGTGTCTGCACTTAGGACCCCCCAGGTGTTAACTGGGAGATTGTGGGTTTCTGATTCCTTGTGCTGAATGAGGCATTGTTGGTGGTTAGCCTGAGATTTTCAGAAGACCCTAAAAAAACACAAATCCCATTTTCTCTTCCTCTTCTTATGTTTGGTTTTGGTTTTTTTTTCCCCATGGATTTTTTTTAACTCCGCTTCCTCATTTCTTTCATCACACCCCAGGACTATGGCCATGCAAGAAATGCTTGTGGGGAGACAAAGGACCCTTTGCAGCCCTGAGTCACCTTGCATTTCTCATGGCCTTTTCCCACAGATAACCGCCTGCAGGTGAACCAGACCCACGGGAACATCACGGTGCTGGAGAACCAGTGGGTGACCCTGGAATGCATGGTCAGCAACAGGACCAGCCCCTCATCCCAGCTCTCAGTGGAGTGGTACGTGTGGCGGCCAGGCCACCCGGAGAAGGAGGTGGTGGCCCGGCTGAGCCAGCAGAGCATCCTGCGCTACGGGGACCTGGCGGCGCTGGGAAACCTGCGGAGCCGGCTGCACCTGGAGAGCCCATCCCCGGGTCTCTACCTCCTCTCCATCCAAAATGCCACCGTGCAGGACAGTGGAGCCTATGACTGCCGCGTGGAGGAGTGGCTCCTCGACCCCAGCGACCACTGGTACAAGCGGGCAGAGGACCTCTCCGGTCTCATCACTCTCACTGTCAAGCAGCCAGGTGAGGAGGATCTCATACCAACAGCTTTGAGCAGCGCTCTGCCATCTTGGGTCAAACACACAAGTCACCATCTGTCTGTCACTGACAGCAGGTCCAGGCAGAGGGCAGGACCACCAAGCTACCGGCCATGCTGATAATTTCTTGCATGTCTTCTTGGACGCACTCTTGTTTCTGTGGAAGGAGCATAGAGCAAGCCTTGCAAACAGCTAGATGGGCTTGGCATTTTGTCCCCACTGCATCTGCAAATGTACTGTTTTCACAGCACTTTTGGCAGATTTTGGTAGGATATGCTTTCAATTCCAAGCTGTCTGTGCTTCCCAGTCATGTGCCTCAGGGGCAAGGTTCCTGGCATGAAAAGAGAGTAGCAGAGGAGATCAGTACCTTTGCTGGTGTCCAGCTGCTGCTCCCTGTTCTGTGGGTGAAGAAGCAGATGTGGGCTTTGCAGCTCCAAGGGTTTGTCTGTCGGTTGGGATGAGGATTTGGGCTTCTTGATGAGGCAGGAGTTGGCTATGAGGGACCTGCTTCTATATGGACAAGAGAGTACTTGAGGGCTTCCTGATTACCCTTTTGCCAGTGATAGTGGTTCAAGTGGATCCTGTTACCTAACACCACCATTTTGGCTATGCACAGACACAGGCAGGCATCAAGGATCCAGATGCTTCTTGTTCTCGCTAGTATCTAGTGGAGAAAACAGTGCTACAGAAGTAGTCTGTTCTAACAACAGATAAGCTGCAAGGACAGTTTACCTTGGAAAATAGGGATTCCCTAGGTTTTGAGACATATGACTCAAGATTAAATGTTTTAAAGGCTGTAGGTTAAGTAACAGTTATGGTCCTCATTTGCTGGGTATTTTCCAGCATGGTAAGCAACCACTCTGCAAGTTCTGCTGTGGTGCTTTATGCCTCCCCATTCCAGGGAGGTGACTCTGCAGTGGAGCTGGCAAAAGGGATTCTGGAAGGGTTTCTGTGGTCATTTATGGCAGAGGAGATTTTTACTGCAGAGGAGGAACTCGGGACAGCACCGCTCTCTTCTGCCAGGTCCTTGCTTGGAAAACTTTGCTGGCCTAGATGGCTTGAGCAGAGGATAAGGCCTCCCCAGGTAATCCCTGCGTCCTGAGTGCCCACATGGCTCTTAAGTGCAGCTCTTCATCCAGGCTGAGAATTGCCAGCCCTGATGGAGGGAGAATGAACAGCAGGGGAAATCCTTGAGGCTCATCTTGAATTGTGGAAGGATGTGGAGTGGGAAGAAGAGAGGGATAATTCAAGACAATTTTTTCTCTAAAACTGCTTTGTTGTTGTTTTTCTTTCATAGCAGCCAGTACTTAAGAAAATGACTAAACTTGCATGTGACTCATGTCTCATTAGTAAGGATCTCCATGCTCATTTTTCAGGACTATAATCATGAGCAAAGAGAGGACAAAAGAACCTCTCAGCACCTTCAGACAGCAGTTCTGTTTCTGCTTAACCTGCAGAGGGGGGGAGTCTTTGTGTTGGTTTTGACAAGCCATTTCCTTCCCCTCCTCCTGTGTTCCTCAGTAGTCCTGTTTCTGCTCAGGAGTCTTCCTGGGGAAGCTGTGAACTGAAAACACTTGTGTTGCCTAAGGCCTAAAGGGCTCTGGCCTTGAAGATTCTCCTTATGGGACCATTTAAAATGTGTTGGGCAGATGCTATAATGAGAAGCCCTGTGGCTGATGAGAGCTGAGGGACAGCAGCCCCCTCCTGCAGGGACACCCAGGGGCTGCACAAGAGAGGGCTTGCCTAGCTATCTTCACTGAAGGAGAAAGCTCTCTACAGTGGGCTATCAGCTTGCCCTTCCTGCTCAGCTCTTACATTGGAAAGGGCTTTTTAATCTTTAAATGAAAGCTTAGAACTGGACTGATTGTGATCCCTGGAGTATATGTGTGTTCCCTGGCAAGATGACTAAGCCAAATGTTAATTGCTCTTGAAGTCAGTGTTTAATCAACCCATCTTGGGTCTGGCCACTTTATCTCTGTGAGGTAAAAACATCTCTTTAGCCATGCAGCAAGCACTAGAACAAAAATAATAAAAAAAAAAACAAGAAAATGAGACTTTTAGAAGTGTCCCCACTGTGTCTGTGCTGGGGCCATCTCCATGGAGATGTTACCTAAATAACTGTCCAAATTGCTAGAGAAAATCCTCCCCTCTTCTGTCATACTGATTTTCAAGACCTTTGAGCGCTCTCAAAGAAATAAAAAGTAGGCATGGAGTGCAATGCTTTTTGCGTCGGTAGCTGGGGAGGAGTAGTACATTGCTCCTCAGCACAGGCACCAAACTCAGTGTTTCCTGGCACATTCTAGTAGCACATCTGGGTAAGCTGCATCAGCTTTCTCCTGTCACATGCACACCCATTAGTTGGTGCCAGGGACTGCGTGGGCAGAGCAGCAGTGCAGTGCTCGCAGACAGCTCCTGTTTGACCCTGTGCCAGGTGGGGTGTGGCAAGGTGAGGATGCTGCACCTGTGGGGTTGACCACAGAGGTACCTGTGGGACGTGGCACGCTGCATCAAGCCTTTGGATATTGCTTAGACCGCACTCAGTACATAGCAGAGTTGTGACAGTCAGTTTGCACCGGGGCAAGGGTGGCTTTGACGATACTCGGCGCTCACATCTCCCCTTATCTCAGATCCCACCTTGCAGGTGGAAACAGCTACCGCTAACCTCACAGTGCAGGAGAAGGAGTCCTTCCCACTGGACTGCAGTATCCTATCCCGCTCCAGCCCAGAGTCCCATTTCGCAGTGACATGGTACAACATGCAGGCTAAAGAGGCCAGTGGCCAGACGGAGGAGGACGAGGAACAGGAGAGAGAAGCAGTGCTGACCGTGGGCCCCGATGCCATCTTCAGCACTGAGGCCAGTCGCTGGGAGGGGCGCCTGCGCTTCCAGAGGCTCTCAGCGGTTCTTTTCCGGCTGACAGTGCTGCAAGCCAGCGGAGCCGACACGGGGAACTACTCGTGCCATGTGGAGGAATGGCTGGCGGACCCCAGCGGCGTGTGGTACCGGCTGGCAGAAGAGGAGTCAAGCACGGTTGCTGTTCACGTGCAGGATGCAGGTGAGAAGAGGTGATGGCCCTCTTGGGGGCATGTCCCTGGCATCTCCTACATCTTTGGTTCAACCAAGATAAAAAGGCCAAGGAATGAATGGGCCTGGGTCTCGCCTGCACCAGGGCAAATATGTGGTGCCACTGCTTTTCCAACTAGGTTGATGGCTTATAGCTCAGCTCTTTCTCGGATTAAGCACTGCACTTGGCTCTGTGCTGGGGCTGCCCACCCCACAACACCACCTGGTGTGTCTGGAGTCAGTGGGGACAGACACTGTTCCCCCCTGGGGTTTAACCCTTCCCTGTGGGAAACACCCTGGAGTTTGGCTTGGCTGTGCACAGACGTGCAGGCTGTGGCACAAAGGTTTTCTCCCAGCAACTCCTGAAGCCATTGGTGGTTTAGAGGCTGCAGAGATAACTGAGGTGATGAGAGTTTCGTGGGCCCTTAAGGGACATACCCTGGGGTGCTGCTTCTGTGTACAATCAGTGAGGGAATCAGTGATTTGCAAGTCTCCCTGCTTTGTAAGATATCATAAAATCTGCACCAGGGAGGACTCTTCTCTAGCACTTATGAAACTCGTGGTGGGGATAAAGCCAAAACATGACCTGCAACAACTTTCTTCTGCTAATCTGTTCTGCTATATTGGTATTTTTCTCAGAGCCCCACCTCCTCCATTGACACAGATTAATGAGTGTCTGGGTTTTTTGTTTCTAAAGAAGTTTTTAGGGACTGTGTTGCAGAGGAGCTAGGAGATGTGACAATCCTGTGTCTCTTTCCAGGCTCCAGCTTGCAGTCTGTCATCTGCTCCAACGATGCCCTCTTCTACTTTGTGTTCTTCTACCCCTTCCCCATCTTTGGCATCTTGATCATCACCATCCTCCTGGTGCGGTTCAAAAGCCGGAACTCTAGCAAGAACTCTGAGGGCAAGAACGGGGTCCCCTTGCTGTGGATCAAAGAGCCTCACCTCAACTACTCTCCCACCTGCCTAGAGCCACCAGTCCTCAGTATCCACCCAGGAACCATGGATTAAACAGGCAGAGGCACCCAGGGGGACAAGCAAAGAGAGAAGCAGACACACCGGGAGCCTTGAGGAACAGAGTGGGTTTTGTTGTTCTTGTTTCATTTGTTTCAGTGTCTGTGCTCTGACATGGCGGCTGAGCTCTGTGGAGCACCCAGCCAGCAGGGACGGGAAGGTCCAAGGCTTCCTCCAGCACTGGTGGAGAATGTGCCACCTCATCCTGATGGACAGAGAGTCGCTGCTCTTGATGTACATAGCAGATGCTCCTCTCGGACTAATTTTGTTCCCATCAGTTGCTGTCCTTTTGGCCGTTACTATTTTGTTGTTTCTTTTTTGGTCACTGAAAGAACTGTAGGCTTCCCCTGCCTTCCACACAGCAAGGGGTTCCAAGGGGGCATTTGGTCCTGGGATGATCTCTTTGGAAGTAAATGTATATGTTTTCCAAAACAGCCTGGTTTTCCTACTCAGACTCGGTGCCAAGGTGAAGAAGGTCTTTTCCCAAGGTGTGTAGCTCCTCCTAAAATAGATAAAGCCAGGTCCACCTACAAGGGGTTAGCTGAGCTATCAAGATGTCCATCTCAAAGACTGGCTCATACCCACTGTCTCAGCATCTTCTTGCCTCCATCTACTGTTCTCTCAGGAGGGAGCAATTCACCTTTTGGAGTGTTTCAAGGTCTTGGAGAGACTGAATATTGAGCACATTAGTGATCAGGACAAAAGCAATTTAGTTTGTCCCCAAGAACTGAAGGGAGGGATGGAAGGAGGACACCTGAAAGCTCTGACTTTGTTGGTAGCAAAGAAGGTCCTTGTACAGTCCAGCTTACCAGAGTTGTGCTCCTCCATGGTATCCATGCTGCAACCTCTGACGAGGCGGGTTCCCTGTGTGCCCCAGCCGCCTGGGGATGAGTGGCTGGATCCAGTCTCTGAAGACTTCAATATGACCAAAGTAATGACTCTAGGAAGGGGGAAGGGAGAAGCTCCGTGGGTTGGGTTCACAGCCCCTGGATGGCTCCAGCCAGAGCCCATTTGCAGCCATGCTGTGCAGCGAGGACATGCAATTAACCACCATGTGTCATGAGTTTCCCTGTGGCTTGCACTGCTTTCTGGTGTGAGCTTGGACAGGGTGAGGAACCTGCACCGCACTGGCACCCTGGGGGCTTCCTTGTCCCCTTGGGCTGAGAGAAATCTTCCCTGTGTGTGCACGTGCATCTGCCATTTTGAGTTTCTGGGGCTTGAGAAGGAGAAACCATTTTTCCATCAGCTCCCCAACCTGGCAGTCATCTGCTCTTGCAGGCAGTCGCTGTGGCAGGAAATGCTGTTCTTTCTGTGAAAGATATGGCTCTCATGAACCAAACCAGGGCTCTCACCACATGGGGCACCTGAGCTCCCGTGTACCCCTTAATGCCAAGTACCCCTGCCATGTCCTGTGGGGGAATCCGCCTCCTCCCGTATACACCCCAAGTGTTATGTCTGGCGGAAGAAAATGTTTGCCAAAAATGGCCTTTTGTTGTCTTCCTCAATGTCTTCCTGGCAAATCCAGCCATTTGTATTTTGCAGCATGGCTGAAGCCAACCAGGACGGACGGGCACAGCCACAAGACTCCCTACACCTCACATGTGAGAGGTGCCATACCCACAGCCGTTGTCCTCTTCAGAAGTGTTGGACTGCTCTTTGTGAAGAGACCAAGACCTCAGTAGATGCTCTGTAGCACTAGTTGGTTAGACCCTGATGCCTTGATGTTTCAGAGGTGGTGAAGCCTCAGATGGAAGATCTGCAGTGCATGTCCTCTCTTCCAGCTGGGAGAGGACCCATGTGGCCGTGGACTCTTCCATGCTAGGGCATTTGAAGTCAGCCACCTCTGCTCTTCCACTAGAACATTGGTTTCTTCTTCCACTGGGAAGCCCAAATTTCACTCATCCCTCTGCAAAGTCTGCCTCCTCAAGATGTAACTGCTTACTGACCCCAGCATATGCATAGTATCACACTCCTATATATATATGTACACACATATTGCACACCTGCACACTTGTCTTCCCTTTCTGGTTACGACATCTGCAAAGAGAGGAGTGGGATGAGAAGTGAATGGAAATGAAGAACCAAGGAGCGAATAGCAGCAGCTGAAGCCAGTGGGTACTGTTTTGTAAATGTAGTGTCTCCTGTACCTTCTGCTCTGGGGCAGGAACTGCAATTCACTTCAGCTTTAAAGGAAGGAAGAAGAGAAAATGAAGTCAGCAGGATCTGTTCTTCCCTGGGAGAGAACTGTGGTGCATCTGAGCCATGCTCCTCATCAGCGTGTCTGCCCTGGAGCAGGGCTCTCCTGGAGAGCTCTCCATGGCCCTGTGCCCCTGACTGGATTGGGTCCCTTCACAGCCCTGAGGTTCCAGCACCAAGCCCAGGCTTTCCTGGGCTTCCAGGTGGTCCTTGAATGTACCTTGCCGGTGGCGTTTCTCCATTGCTCTGGCAGATGCTGCCCAGTCTCAGACTTCTGTTTTTATTAGACAGACTCTTCCTGTAACGAGTTTTAACATGAAGCTTTTCAAACCACTCTCTCTACTGTAACTTCCTGTAACAAAGCCAAGAAGAGAGATCCTCTATCCATGCATGATGTGGAAAAATATTTTGGATTTTTTTTTTAAAAGCAGACGTTTAACAAAATCTTTGTACTATGTTGCACTAAAACATGTTTTATACAACACACCGGAGAGCTGTAGTAAACTGTGTTGAAATTGTGAATCCTATTGCCACTGGTTTTTATCAGATTTGGGCTTTCATTATGCCTTTATGCACACGCCCTGCATAAAGGTGTGCTGAACACCCCCTTTCAGGCAGCCTCTCCCTTTCCCACCGCCCATTCCCTGATGCATTAACTCTTCTCCCGCCCTGGTAGTGCATCTCCTTTCTTGCATGCTGGAGCTTGCAGACACCTTACGGCCGCTGGCTCTTCATACTTCTCCCTCCCATCCCTTAATTCATCCCGTAACAGAATATAACATTTAACCAAGGCACGTCAGGTCTGTTTATTGAATGGGATACACCATTTTTTAAATTGCTCTGAAAACAGGAAGTACTTTGCTCTGCCGTAATCTGGATTTGAAGAAAAAACTTTTTTTTATAGAATTATGCACAGCAAACGTTAAGCAAAGAATCTTTAGTAACCTTGATGTAAACGGAAGAATATTTCTCACTACAGAAGCTGCTTAAGTTGATGTAAAGTGCAACCTGTTCATTTTCATTACCCACTTTTACCTTGATTAAGGGTTTGGTTAGTAGTCTTGAACTCCCACGTTAACTGAAGTAGGGAAATAGTTTGATACATTCTCACCTGTATAGCAAAAGTGCTGTGACATTGTGCAAAATGCACTGCTGACACAGCTGTGAGGTTGGGTTTGGTTTTTTTCCAACATTCATTTAAAACAAAAAACTCTGCTAAAATAATTGTATGAGAGAGCTGCTGTCTCCAGGCCCACCTGGCTGTTTGCCTGCTCCCCTTGCACCCCCCAGCAGGTTGTCTTGGGCTGCATCTGCTATAGTCTCAGTGCTAGATGGCAAGTGGTGTCCCCAGCACTGCCTGGTGAAAGTACCAGGCAGGGAGCTTGGGCCAGCTTAGGCTTGCCGGGAGGCATCTGCAGCCCATGTACACTCCCTGCAGTCAGGTGTGCATCCCTAACCCTCTCAGGCATGCTCAGATGGGCAGGACCCTGGTCTGGGGCAGCTTGAATGGGTTTTGCTGCTGGGGCATAGCTGCAGCACATGTCCCTGCTCCTCTTGAGGGCCAGGCAAGGTGCAGCCACCATGCAGCGGAGGAGGGATATCTCGGGGCTTGGCTGCTCCCATCAAACCACCTTGTAAGTGCTTCCCCCACCCACCATCCCCAAGCTGCTAGCTCCAAAACAGACCCCCATTGAGGCCAACATGCACACAAAAAAAAAGCAGACCTGACTCTCTGGCTGTTGCTCCTGTGCTTTAACCCAGCAGGTTTGCAAATGGAGTTTGCTAAACCTTCAGGGAGCGGAGGCTGGCTGTGAGGTAAGCACATCCCTGGGGGCCCTGCTGCCCCCAGCTAGGTGAGGTGGTACAAGGCCTTGGCCACCTGCTCTAGGCGGTCTCTGTACTCAAGTTGGGCATAGAGGGAGTCATCGACACCCTGGAAGCCGTGCATGGCGCCCCACCAGCAGGCAGCAATGGCAGCAGTGGAGTCACTGTCCCCACCATGGAAGAAGGCTCGGTGAGCCAGCTCTGCCCATGAGTCCCCTGCACCCAGCACCGCATCATAAGCGATCATAGGGGCATCGTGCCCGCTGCTGCCCCCCCAGCCATCGTAGCTGAGGGAGGTGTAGAAGGAGTCTCTCTCTTCCACGCCATACCTTGGGGGGAAGGTGGGTGGCGAGATCCCGTCTGCTATGCCTCTCTCTGCCAGGTATTTTTCCCACTGCTCTTCAAAATAATGCCTGCAAAACAGGATGGAGGGGCTGTAAGAGACATCCCATGGCAGAAGCATGTATCTCAGCTCTCTGCTTGGTGCCAGCTGAAAATGTGCTACATCAAGAGCCCGGAGCAATGGCTCAGCAAATGGTAGGCATCCCCCCATTTGTCAGACTAGGGACATGATTTCCAGTAAGAGGCCCAGGGACATATTTCAGTGAGTTAGATTTCCCCTCCCTCCAGCCACATGGGAGAAGGCAGCCCAGCACCTGCTGCTGTCATGCTGCATGGGATTCAAAGGCTCAGAGTGAAAACTGAGTCATCCTCTGAGATCCAGAGTACCTCTGCCCTTCCCTGTGTGTGCCCCTGCACACAGAGCCCCACTGAATATGCAACCAGATTTGGTTATGACTTTCAAAGTAAAACAGGTCCTAAAGCCTGGTGCTCTTCCCCTGCTTCCATCTTTCATCAGGTCATGGTTGCTTGAAGTGACAAATCCAGCTACCTCATACTGGATCCAAAAAATGGCACAACTGCATGACCCAAACAAAATATGCTCGTTTTTGTTTTAAATTAAGCTAGAGGTACTCTGAATCTGTTCAGTCCCACAGCAGGCATGAGCTGCTCTGGGACTTTACCGTATGTGGTTACTGAAACTTAAGTATAAGCAGAGCTCACCCTCTCATACATGAGGTTTATTCTAGTTTTAGCAAAGCCCAGTTCTGGAAGTGCAGCTCACCATTGCCCCATGTTCTCCTCCACGAAGAAGCCAGTGTCCCGAACATAGGCTTTTGCCTTTGGCAGCACCTCCAGCAGCTGCTTCCCCCACGCCAGGGGGGGCACGCCGTTCACCGCAAGGGCTGTGAAGAGGGCTGAAGCCAGTGACCCCAGGTAGCCAGTAGGATGGTGGTGGGTCATTCGGCCGCTCTCGATGCTGACTTGCACCAGGGTGTCCATCTCACTGGTGTGGCAGAAACGTAGCCCGATGCACATGGCGCGCATAGCGGCCCCGCAGCCTCCTGCATGGGGGCTGAACAGGGTCCTCCAGCCATCCAGCCGCTCTGGATCCAGCTTCAGCGCATTTGCCATACTGATGGCACCTGAACAGGGGGGACACAGCCCAAGAAAGAAAAGAAACAGAAACATGAATCAGTAGGAGACAGGGTCATGCAGCTTGGGAACTGAGGGAAGACAGGCTAGGTAGCGGAGAAGGAGCATTACTCTGCATAAGGGATTTGAGCTTCCCTTTAAAACCATCAGCTGTCTACTCACACGTGTATCCTGCCTTAAATTGCCAGTGCACCAAACATATACCCAAGCAGACATGGTAATTCCTGTTCATGAAAATAATTAGGGGGTAAGAAACAAGTCCACTGCTGATTTATTTACATTAATTTTATTTACATATCATGTTGTTTAATAACTTCTCTATAAAATACTATATATATTAATACATGCTATATATAATACATACTATATATATTAGGTATATTATGTACACATACATCTAAATACCTAGATAGATACATATAAATAGAAACAGGAGGTTTGGAGGATCCCTGACCTGAGGCAGGACTAAGTACCTCTGCTTTTTTAGTTGTTCAGCCTCTTTACCGGACCTTTTAAAGGCAGAGACCCCACAAGCTCCCAGGCATCTTTCCCATTGCATCACTGGTAGGAAGTGTTTTCCAGCTCTCCCTTGCTGCAGTTTAAGGTTGTCAGAAAGTGATGAATGTATTACTTCTCACTGCAACATGGTCTGCATAACTGGCTTTACTGTACTCCAATAAGCTGAAGAACAACTGTGCTAGGTGAGACCAAATGTTTGTCCAGCCAACTATCCCGTCTTCACAGTCACTAACAGATAACTATGGAAAGACTAAAAAAATGAGGCAAATACAATGTTCTCCCAAGAAGACCTGCCTGGCTTCCAGCAGATACAGGAGTACAAGCTTGCTTGAGTCATAAGACAGAGCCAAAGTGGTGTGTTCAACTCCTAACATACCCAGCCACCAGGAAACAGCCTCCTCAGCTTGAACCCATGCATGCCTTCAGACTCCTTCAACATCCCATGGTAATCAATACCATGATTCGGTTATGCAAAGCACTTCCTTTTGTTTTAAACTGCCGTTTGACAATTTCCCTAAATTCCCCCCTTATTTTTTTCACTACAAAAAATAACTTTTCATGCTCCATGGTATTCAGGATTGTACTTTATCCCCCTTCCTCAGTTTTCTCCTGCTCCAAGCCCATACCCTAGTCCAATTTTGCCTCTCTTCTGGTGGGAAGCCAGCCAGTTTCCCCAGCCAAGACTTTAAAACATGTTTTGAGAGCTAAGCCCAAATGCGTGTGTGCAAGGAAGAGGAAACAGGTTTGAAACATTAAATTACCTTTGTCTGTCTTCTACCTTGCCTTTTTCTCCTAGTCTTCTCTTCTGGCCAAATCTGAAATGCTGATCTTCCAGATGAAGCTAAATGAAGGGCAGGTTTCAAGCAGCTGCATTTAACCTTTAATGTACTGGACAATGGTAAAAGTAGGACTCAAAAAAGTAGTCTTTGCCCAACCCCAACTTGCCCAGTCCTCTCTCAGATACATAGGGTAACAGCAGCAGTTGGCATGCTCTCACACCCAAAATTAGACCATTGCTCCTATACTTTGCTGGGACATGTAGCTGATAAACTTGATGTTGCTCTGTTACTTTGAAAGTCAAACTAAACAGAGTATCAAGGAAGAAGCCTGGTTAAGAAACTTCACCTAACTCTACAATTCAATTACCTTTGGTGCAATCTGATCACTGTGATCTGGGACCTTGCTCATCACAGGTAGGTACTGCAGCAAGTACTCTGCAGAGCTCTTCACTTTGCGCTTTCATGTATATGCCTGGCAGTAGGATTTAGTATATGGCAGCCTATTGGACATGCACATAGCACATACAGCACCCTTGTAACTGAAATATCTTCAAACACAGCTTGAAGATTGGCTTCTGAACATAGGCTGAAAAAAATAATGGCTGGCTGCTGTCAGTAATAAGGTCACATGCTACTCTATGTGTCTTGAGCATCTTTCTTTTCCAACAGTGTTGTTATATTTACTAGATGAGAGCAGGACACAGCCCTCTGTGCAGAGGGAAGGGGTGGACCAGCTCCCTGTGAATGGCTGTCTCAAAACTGAGAAAGCCGCTTGATCCTGTGGCTGTCAGGCTATTTGCCCTGCAGCCTCTCAACCGAAATCAACTTTGAGAATGGAAACAGCTATGCGAGTCTCCCCCACAGGAAAAAGCGGGCTGCTGATCAGCACAGCCCACAATGTTG